TGAAAATTCGGTGTCATGGTTTGGTTCAGTATTGTATGGTTTAGTTCATGTTCGACATGGTTCAGTTCTGTGATTCCTGTCGTGTATGATGGAAGAGTAACGATCAAAATAGACAAACATTATGTACAACTATTGAAATACTGTCAAAAAAATATTTTCATTAATACTTTTGTTTCGCGTTTAACCCATTCTATCCTATTTTGAGGCAATATATTGTTGCCATTTCCTAATGTTGTTTTGTTCCCATACGAGTTTCACATATTAGCGTTGATCTTCTACTCGCGAAAATACATCGCTCGAGAAAATAAGTCGTCTACAGTAAATTTAAGATATTATCATTATAGTTATCATTATAGAACACGCATGTATAAAGAAATCACGAGGGTAATAAATACAATGCATTTCAAAAGCAATTTTCTTTAAAAGTAGTTTTAATCGGAATACAAAAAGACCTAAGAAAGCACATAGTAATATATAATAAGTAGATGCGGTATGATTCCAATGAGACAACTATCCACCCGAGACCAAATGACGTAAATGTTAGGACGCCGTACGCCTTCAACAATTAACAAAACCCATACCTCTTAGCAAACAATTAAAGGCTCCGACCAAATTAAATGTAAAGCAATTCAAATGAGAAAACCAACGGACTGCTTCATGTTCAAAACAATAAGCGAAAAACCAAATATGATAAACAGTAACAAACTACAGCCACTGCATTACAGACTCTGGACTTATGACAGGCACATACAGAATATGGAGGCGTTTAACATGTTTGCAGGATCCCAACACTCTCCTTGCTTTAACCTGGGCAGTAGTGTAACAGCACAACAAAGAAGAACAAACTATAAAAATCAGTTGAAAAGAACATGACTCATCAGATCGATACAAAGCAAAATAATCAAGTCACATAAACACCAAAGACACAAAAAACCGATCTGTGAATATTTGCATTTACCAGAAGTTCCAAGCCAATAACAACTATTAAAAAAAATCATGAATTCAAGACAAAACGTTTCTTTTTTTTTTTCAGAATGAAATTCTGCTGCCAATATTCATCTTCATCCATCTTATTCTCTACTGTTAAGAACGATGATTTCTTGTCTAGTCGGGTCAAAAATAAGGTCGTACACAGTTTAAATGTGTAGGACTCGGAGGTGCTATGGGAACGCTGAAGTGCGATGGTCACGCTAAAGTTCGATGGTCTGCGCCGAAGTGCAATAGTCCGTTCGCTGGTGTGCGATGATCTATATTACACTTGATGGCTAGTTTAGAATCTACAGATGTTGAATTATTATGAGAAGCAGATTTTTTAATTGTTATTATATAAATTTGCTTTCGTTATTGTCTATGTATGTCCTTAGTTTAATACAGTTTCATACTAAATACGAGATCGTCCTCTTTGATTTTCTGCATGTGGATATATTCGCGTTATTATTTTATCATTTACACTGCTCCTCTCATGCGATCCTAGATCGCTTACCGTTATATTATAATAAGGAGAGTCTGCGGACCCATTTGTATTTAGGGAATGACACACTTCGTCGTAAGAAGAAAAAGAAACTTTTGTAGATTTCGAAATAAAGTCCGCTGCAGAAGGTTAACTTTCCCCTCTCTACCAATCACCTCCCATTTCCCGTAGTATAAAACTGATTCCAACAAAGAAATTGACTTCTACATACAACATGAAAAGCATTGAAAATATAGATTATGTAGTCTATCGCACTTCAGCGTTACCACCATCGCACTTCGGCGTAGCTATCAACAAGATAGCGTCACAATGCCATCATCCCACTTCAGCGTGATCAAAAACAAACTTCAGCGTCAAATCATCGCACATCAGCGTGACCATTGCGGTTCGGAGTCCTACAAATGTACTTGTACTAAACAAAATAACACGTGTATCTGGGAATTTAAATTATTTTTTTCAATCAAATTTAATAACGTACATTTTCTCGTACTAAATACTAGACCGAAAGAGCTTTTTCTGATATTATCGAAAATTCATTGCATAAAAAAATAAATGCTTATCAGCCTTTTTCAACTGATTTTTATAGTGTGTTCTTATGTTGTACTGTTACACCACTGTCCCAGGTTAGGGGGAGGGTTTGGCGCCAACAAACTAGTTTAACCCCGCCACATTCTATATGTGCCTGTCCCAAGTCAGGAGCCTGTAATTGAGTGGTTGTCGTTTATTGCTGTTTCTCAAATTTGTTTTTCGTTTATTGTTTTGTATATACTGCTCTTGTATTGTGTCGTTGCACCACTGTCCCATGTTAGGGGGAGGGTTTGGCGCCACATTCTGTATGTGCCTGTCCCAAGTCAGGAGCCTGTAATTCAGTGGTTGACATTTGTTGCTGTGTAACATATTTGTTTTTCGTTCATTATTTTGTACATAAATTAGGCCGTTAGTTTTTCTCGTTTGAATTGTTTTACATTTGTCATTTCGGGGCCTTTGATAGCTGACTATGCGGTATGGGCTTTACTCATTGTTGAAGGCCGTACGGTGACCTATAGTTGTTAATTTCTGTGTCATTTGGTCTCTTGTGGAGAGTTGTCTTATTGGCAATCATACCACATCTTCTTATTTTTATATTAAACGGGTTAAGTGATACTACACAATACACTTATACAATATGATAAAAACATGATCATTTTATTCATTCGTAAAAATGGACATTATATTGACCTATTTCTAATTCGAAATTGTGATCTTTACTTTGAAAGTTATTTTCATAGTAATTCACTTATAGCTTATTAAAAAAATAAGTTTAAACTGTTGTCCATGTTAACATTTTGTTCCGTGGAGAGTTGAAGACTGTATGGTGCCCTCTCGATATCGTTTGGTTAGTTTTGTAGTTGGGTTACTGTATCATAGGCCGCTCACGTTATCCCCGGCAGAGTCCATCATTGACATATGGAGAAAAGAGTCTAGGTGAAACAGAAGCAACGCTTTTTTTTTGTAATTCATTTTATCGAATGCCAGTTAAAAAACGCAATTGCTATATAAATTATATCTTAGGAACTCACCAAAAGTATAAATGTATAAATGTACGGCTTGCCGATTACGCCCACCAAATTTGGTTAAAAAGACTTTTTTTCTTCTTAGTCAATTGGTAAATTGTGTACTAAGTAACTTCTTTTTTTCACAGGCGCCTTTAAACAAACTATCAATATAAATGCGAAACACATATGTATTAGTTTGGATCTAAACCATGACGAATTTCTAGACACTTAACTGAACCATGTCAATCGCTTAACCAAACCATACCAATTTCGATATTTTGGTTTTCCTGCGTTAATTTCTTAAAAACAATTTCAATTTAGATCGTTTGACTTACAATATAGATTCAAACATGTTATTTGCTTTTTATTTGCTCATTTGAAAAGAACTGAGGCAATCATTCTGGGAAGTAATCTAACTAATCCATGACCAACTTAACCAAACTATGACAAAATCACTGTACTAAACGCTCCTCGATATGACGATGTTACTACCCGTGGTCGGTGAGTCTTTTGTAGACGAAACGCGTGTCAATTCATTGCAACAACTCTTTTAAGACCCCATGACAATATCTTGTAACAACTCTTTTAAGACCACATAACAAATTATTACAATGACTCTTTCAGAAAAAAAAAGACAGCATAATAATTCATTGCAACAACTTCTTAATGACCATATAACAATTTTTGCAAAAGCTATTTTGAGATCATATATAACAATTCATTGAAAAATCTTTTTAAGACCACATTTTTAACTTTTTTGATTCGAGAGTCACTGATGAGTCTTTTGTAGACGAAACGCTCGTCTTAAGTACAAGTTTTTTATCCTGGTATCTACGATGAGTTTGCGGCATAATATTGCTATGTAAGCAAAAGGAGCCTCCATATACAAATAAGGAGATGTAGAATGATCACTAATTAGTGATTGATTGATTGATTGTTGGTGTTTCACACCACTTTCAGCACTATTGGTTATATCAGGGCGGCCATGTTTTATTGGAGGAAGCCGGAAAGAACCACCGACCTTCGACAGGAAAACTGGCAATCCAATTAAGATCGGAATCAAACGCACCTATCACTAGTGTTGACAGGCAGTGATCACTGTAGGTGAACTATGTAGACCACCAGAATTAACAATGAGACAACTATAAAGATGTGAACAATAACCGGGTACGGCATTCAACAACTTGTATGGGAAGATTAGTTTGTTATTACTAACAATGAGCAAACTCAACACCTTAGTTTTATATTTGCCATGTGACAAAAGTCATGGTTGGAAGTTATTTAGTTATTTTTTTCTAGACATTGACACTGACAATTTTCAAATAACCTAGATATCTTATATTTACTCGGTGAGCGCACAAATGTTTAGAGGTTGTTCATGATAATACCATATCTACTAACCATTGTTGCCTAACCTTGACCTCGTTTTCAATATAAGGTAATGAGCGTTTCGCCCCTGCCTTGGAGTCGCATATAATAATTGTAATAGACAAATAGCGGGAGATGTTTCTGTAGGAAAACGCCCGGCACCATAAAACAAGTGTAACCATGGATTTCTTAAATCAGAACGGTTTTGGTGGGGTTCGTACTGCTTACATCTTTAGTTTTCTATAGATGTTTTTAGACTTGTCTTTTCATTGTTTTTCTTTGGCGTTGTCATAGTGGTAACAATAGATACTTAATTTTTCGGACACCGACAAAATGACCAATTCATCGTATATGTGCCTGCTTTTTTTCAAACCTGTATGAAATTCGTGTGTGTAAATACCAAAGCATTTTCTGAAGTACACAGAAGAAAAAAAAATCATGCATTTCATTTTTTTCAGAGTATATATTATAAACGTAAATAATAATAGATTGAAAATAAAAGAAAACAAATTATGATGGTAAAAAATTGTACCCAGTACCATGTCCTGTCTGTATAGAGAACATAATGCATGACCTGCCTGTTTTCACGATTTAATCAGGGTCATCTAAAAATAGTGTCAAAGGAAGTAAAAATTTTGCAGACATGTTAGATAACAATATTTATCAAGGTGAGTAGATATATTGTCGGATTTTTCCCCGTTTAATCAGTTTTTATAGCTTAATTTTTAATAATCACTAGTCACTTCATGTCTGCATGAAAGTTACTCACAGCCAGGCACTTGGTGTACGCATACAAGCCATTTTTTATTTTATTCGTTGTAGATATTTTCAATCGATTTTCTTTATTTATATTCAAGGTTATTTGCCTTAAGGTTCACCTATACACTTTAACAAAAATGGCTGTGTTTACACCATGAAATTTTCTCTGAATGCAGACAAAACTGTGTAATTCTAATAGTTTTAAATCCTGGCAGCACCTAGATATATACAAGTTGTATACATTTTGTGTTTTAAAAAGAAAAAAACTTTTGTGGATTTTGCTAAACATTTTCTTTCTTTGCCACAGGTGGTGTAAAAATGAACAAAGTCATGTGAAATCTTTGAGATGGTCCCCCTCAGGTAATGATTGTATTGTATCATTGATTGATATAGACAATATAAATCTACTCACAACAAAGGTGATTTAAATAGTGTAAATGAGTGGACTGTATCAAAGAAAACTCAGGTGTTTGTTTGTTTATTTCACCATCTTCTGTGGCAAGGAAAGAAAATGTTCATCAAAATCCATAAAGTGTTTTAACTTTTTAGAACATAAATTGGATGTAACAATAATTTATTAGTTACTTATATGTTATATAAGTTATGGTTATACATAGTTTGATTTCCATTACACTCAGTAGTCATTATTTTAGGATTTTCCCAGGATTTTTTGTTTTCTTTACTATTGAGAAGAAACAGATTTATTATCATATCTTAATCAGCTACATGTGAGTTTATCAGGTGTTCTTAGCAGGGTGGTTTAATTACATCAGTTCCATTATAAGTATACATGTTTTGTTAATTAGTGACCACTTGTGGCATCTGGCTTTCCTTTATCCTTTGTTTGTTTGCACATAAACTTTGGTGTAGTTTAGCTCCTCCCATTTAGGAATATCCCATTAAGTAGTTGTATATTGAAAACCAGTACATGCTGTCTTTAGTGTCCAGTTTTTTCAATGCAGATTAAGCAGTTAAAAGAATAATTTTGCTCAAAAAGTGGCTTAGCTAAAAACTTGCCTCCCACCAACCCCAACCTTACACCTTCAATATTGCCATGACAGGGGAATCAATCTCAGCACAGTTTATATAAGATTCTTATTGATTTTTCTGTATATGTATATGTTACAAAAGTGCTTAAAAATTTCATTCCAACACCATTTCATATCAGTAGATCTCGGCAACCAGTAGTGCAAAAATTACTTTTAGGAGCTAATATGTTGGATTGGTGTGATGTCAAACTAGGGGTCTATACTTTGCTACTTTTCAGTAGGCACATGTACATAGACTGCTGGTTTAGGCATGGATCAGATAAATAACCTTAGCAACTGAAACAAGTCCATCATGTTTGGACATTTATGAAATTTTATAACTGGTTGTTTCAAAAATTTCACTCATCCCCCAAGAATTTCTGGGGATAAACTGTCAAATTTCATACAAATTCATTCCAACACCAATTCAACATCAACACTACTTGGCTTCCTCATAGCCACATACTAGGCTTCCTCATAGCATCATTATAGGCTTCCTCATAGCCTCATAGGCTTCCTCAGACATAGCCTCATAGGCTTTCTGATAGCCTCATAGGCTTCCTGATAGCCTCATATGCTTCCTGATAGCCTCACGCATTTATTTGGAACCATAGATCCAATTGGATTGGTGTCTGTCCAGGGGTCTTTACTTTGCTACTTTTCAGTACGCACATAGGCTCTTGGCTTAGGCATGGAGCAAAAATTTTAATTTTAGCTGAGTAGATTCCCCAAGGGCCAAAATTAAGTGATGAATATAAAATAATAAAAGTTATAGTTCATTTATGATTTATGTTTCATTCAAACCTGGATACATACTGGCACTGCTACGCAATACATGTATTTACACAGATTATTATAATGGGATAGAGCAGGATTTTGAATTATGTTGATTATATTGTTGATATGAATACTAAATGCTTAATTTTACATATCATGAGTTCAAATGGAGAGTTCTGAAGCAAATCAGGATAATTAAAATGTTGCTTAAATTAATTGTCTTAAGAACTCATTATGTGTGACTTTGAGGATTTTGTTCATTGGGCACACATTTCGGCAAGTTAGACTTATACTCAGACAGGTTTCTAATGTCAGGTCAAAATATTTTTGCAAGGAGGTTACTGTTTTTCTGGATGTTTACTCAGGCGTTATATACTTTTCATTATTACAAAACACACATCCACTGACCAAAGGAGAAATATGTACAGTATAAACAACAGACACTTTAATATTAAATACAACATTACAACAAATTATGAATGGACCTTTAGTATATCTACAATCCAGAATCGGTACTCTAGTCAAACATGGAACAAATTACAGTTAAAAATAATCAGGACCATTTCTGAGGACTTTGTATAAACTAGGTGCTGCCAGGCATTTAAAAAAACTTTTAAAATTACACAGTTTTGTTTGTACTCAGAGAAAATTTCATGGTGTAAACACAGCCTTTTTTGTAAAAGTGTATAGATGAACCTTAATTGATTGTGTTCTTGTTCATACCTGCAAATTCATGTAATATTTACAGTCCATCTACTTTTAAACATAAGAAGAATAAAGAAGAGAAGACTACTTTTTCCAAATTAATGGGCTAAAAGCAACAAGAGATGCATCTATTGTAAAATAATTAAACAAAAACCAAAAAAGGAAATAATTATTAACTGATTGATAAAATGGAAATAATGTAAATATCTATCTATATATATATATATATATAAGTTTGAAAATCAAACCAAACAGTGTTAGAATTAGATTTTTATGCTGACAAATTTTTGTCACTCAACTGGATTTGAACTCACACCTTTGATACACTACAGCACCAATCGCTTAGCCTCGATCGTGACCAGCGCTCTCAACCACTCTACCACATCTGCTATAAATAATATAAGTTCAATAGTCGTAGTGTTACCTTGTAAGGCGAATCTAGAGATAGACACAAGACATGTGTTTTAAGCGTGTGTAGATGTTATACTATTTTTTAATACACAATGTATTTTTATTTGTCAGCAATCTAACTCAACAATTTGTATATACCGTATGGGATAATGATTCAATTCATTATACAGTCACTAGAAATAAGTATATCATACAAACAAGTCTAAGCAAGTGACAACCATACTATATATATGCCCACTGGATCTCAGTGTGTTTGAGATACATGGTAAATACACATATAAGTCTGAAAATTAAACCCAACAGTGTTCGATTTGGTTTTTATGCTGACATATTTTTGTCCCTAAACGGGATTTGAACTTATATATGTATATATATATGTTACAGACATTTACTAAATTCAGGCATTTTGTAAAATGACCTAAAAAATTTGGCGTTTCCTAAAATGCCTGTCAGATTCTGGAATTTTATATATGGTCTTAATTTTTTCAGGCATTTTATTGTCAGATTCCGGCATTTTATATATTGACTAATTTTTGAAGGCATTTTATAAAATGCCTGGATAAATTGAAAAGCATTATACAAAATCCATGAAATTATTTTATAGAATGAAACTTTTTCTAAAAAACTGTGCCATTGAAAGTATTGAACAACAGAGCAGTTTTATCTATGATAATTACCGAATTTTATCGCTTGCATTTTAAGAGATTAAATAATTAAAAATAAATTCTGCTGACTTGTATAAAATTCCCACAAGCTCTGAACTCCACAATTATTGTTATTTCATTAAATATTTGGATGGCAGGTTCTGTTACTCATGTATCCTGATTTTTTTGCAATTATATCGAGATTTTAATATGGGTAAACTACTGTCGCCTTAATTCTTCATATTGTAAAGACCCAACAGTGGCGGATCCAGAACTTTTGATAAGGGGGGCCCTCTGACTGACCTAAGGGGGGGGGGCCGCTCCAGTCATGCTTCAGTGATTCCCTATATAATCAACCAAATTTTTCCCACAAAAAGGGGGGGGCGGGCCCCCCAGGATCCGCCTATGCCTAATAATTCTCTTTAGACAATGAAGATGAAGTTACTCATATATTTGCATCACAAACAAACACGGCATTGCATGGCGAAACATATAAGTTAAAGAGAGGAATTCGTTTGGCTGTGCAGGATGTATAAATTCGCATACCTTCTCAAAGGGGATATTAAATCTGATGCCTCGAGTAAGGAGAGTTTCACACTCTCTGCATATTAAGAACTCTTTGTTCGGTAGGTGGCCTGCTGGAAGGCAACATTTCTGTCCCTATCCAACACACATGCATTGCAAGTAGCAGTCGAAATTCCTGTCCTTTATCCGGGTCACTTAATTGCAGATTTCTTATCAATTTTTTCTCGTCCTAAACATTTGCTACTGAACGCAAACAAACAACAGTCAGTTGATAAAAAATACCTTCTTTTTCTCTGCTTCATATTACACACTTCTATTTTGAATCTAGATTTTCCCAAAAAAATAATTGTAAATTTTGTTCTATTGTAAGAACAATGTGTCCTTCTGCCATCATGACAAGAAGATACTCATAGTAAAATTACTATCTGAAATACAGAGTGAGTACATACTTAACATAGTTTCACTAAAAAGAACTAATTAAAGACATACTAAACTTAATTTTACCAAACTATTAGTTAGTTTCTTTGCAAGTTATTATGTTCAAATTTTGGTCATGATTCACAATGATATCCCTTTTCTGCAAATTACCTAAACCTGCAATTTGTTGAGATTTGTCTCAAAATTTCAGTCATTTTACAAAATGCTATATATTTTTGGTCAATTTCGATAATGCCTGTAACATATAAGATAAGATAAGATAAGAATTTTATTAATCTAATCAAGAACCCATAAAGGGCATCATTTACAACAATATTAAGCACAATATGATTGGAAAAAAGAAAAACTATATCCTAATATAATACTATCATATATTGGACAGGATCAGTACATGTATACACATTGATATTGTAATGGAATAAACATAATATTTTCTACAATGTAGAGGGTATTGTCCTTATAAAAATGCTGTCCTAGGTTTAACATTGATATTGCAATCCCTGTGGCAGGAGCATTTTCAAACTTGAAATCAATAATACTGTCTCTACCTACGGCAGTCTATATTACTTGACCACTCCCTCATCATAAGTAAACTATTATGTAATGAATTTTCTAAATTGTGTACCGCATATATTTCTTATTGTTTGGTGGGATTTCGGAACGTTTGATACTCGAGCCTGTTTTGGTAACTATACTTGTTTCTTCATTATTATGTACATGTATTGGAATATTATTATTTAGCTTTAATCTGGTTTGAGCGTCACTGATGAGTCTTTTGTAGACGCCGAAACGCGCGTCTGGCGTACAAAATTTTAACCCCAGTATCTGTGATGAGTATATTGAAGTCAATACTACTATCCCAAAGCAGTCTATTATTTATCATGATAATGATCCCTTCAATCATAAGTTAATAACTATTATGTATATTTCATTGAAGTTTATTTCTGTTTAAAATGCTTGCCAGTAAGATGTTACACTTCAAAAAAAAAATTTAATTGTGTATTTTCATAGAAATAAAATTGAGATGCTTTCATGTTTTCAAATAAATCACAGTTTTTTTTTGTGTCATTGCGTGAATAGAATGTTTAAAAGACTTTAAAATCTAGTCAGTAGCGTTGTATACAAGATTGCCCGAAAACTCCTGAGATCAGTAGGGTTCAAAAACTGCGGAAACCACTTTGTCTTTTTTCCTAATTTATGTGTGCTTTATTTTTAGAAAAGACAGCCTACCGATTTTGTGATGTAAAATCTCAATTACTGTTGATACAAACACGTCATGTCAGGAACCTAAAACACCAATAATGGCTACATCAACAGTGTTAAATGAAAACTATATCACAAACTATGCAAGACTTGGTCATGCAGCCCAAGAACTTCTTCCTGAAGTGTTACGCGAACTTTTATTGATTAAGGAACCACCTACTATGCTTTTCAAAGATTGCAAAGCCAATAAATATTTTGCTGATCGAGTACTCAGACTAGTAGAATGGCAACGTATTACTAATGTTGCTACTGACGGATACTCTAAATTTGACATACAACTATCATATAAAATTATACGAAATCTTAACCTTGTGACATGTCCAACACGTGGTTGGGACCACCCTCAAGATCCAATGGTTCATGAATTGACTATAGGCGATGATGTCGAAAGAATAAGACGACAAAGAAACGAAATTTTACACAAAGGAGAAACTAAAGTTACTGATAAAGATCTCGCGGAGTATTTTTCAGTCTTCAAAGGTTTAGCAATACGACTAGAAAATTATTTAGGCAAACCACAGGGTCATTTTTTATCCAAATTCGAACAGCTTGAAACTCGTTGCATGGACCAGAAATCAGAAGAACAATTCATACAAACAATCAAGAATTTGGTTAAAAACGAAGAAGATATCAAAGATGAAGTTGGCAGAGTTCGAATAGAGGTAGAACAGCTTAAAATAAAAGGTGAAAATTTAAAATACTTTAAGATAGGCTCATTAGTCAAATTGTTATTATAATGTCATTTATTTCACATTTACTATATATCAATGTTAATGCCAGTATTCATTTAGTTAACTGCCTCGGTGTTCGTGTGGTAGGATGATCGCCTCGAGGGCACAAAGTAGTGGGTCCGATCTATGGCTGCGTCAAAACAAAGACTTAAAAAGTTGTATTTGCTGCTTCGATTGATTGATTGATTTTTTATGTTTAACGCCACTTTCAGCCCTATTAGCTATATCATGGCGGCCAGTTTGTATTTCTTGTTTTGTGGGGATAGCAAGAGTGCTCGGAAAGAACCATCCGTGACAGACGCTAAACACGCGGCATTTAAGAGAATAAGAAAAGACTGATCGTCTGGTATTCAGAAAATGACGAACTTTAGCATCAATTCTTCCATTCATCAATAATTTAGTCATACACTATAAATTAATCGAATTTAAGTTATAATTCTACTTGCAACAAGTGACGGCTATAAAATGTCCCCAACTTAATTCTAGCCTGGCATCCCGGCCCGATCTAGCTGCACGTCGTATACTGACAAGATTAGCCAGGACCCCAGGCTAACTTAATTCACGATGTGAAGATTAAAGAATACACCCTATAACCAGTTACCGGTTCTTCAGATGCGAAAGGTAACTCAGATCTAAATCTGCTGTTAAACGTCTGTTGAACACGATAGCAAAAACCATGGTTTTTAATTGCAATTGGTAGTAAAGCCTATGTAAATTGCATTTTTCTTTTGATGTTTTAATGAAATAACTTGCCTAAGGCGAAGTGTACGTAATTAACTACTCCACAGAATTTTTTTTTAAATTTTACATATGGATTCTGCTTGTACAAATACATCAGAAAATAAAATAAATAAAGGGGGTAACCGTTTTCGTTTTTCAGATACAAGCTGTTGAAGTTAACAGCATGATACACCAAAAATACAAAGGATATATAGGAAAAATCATAAAAATCGGCGGATATTTTTACTTTATCAAGATTTTCGAATTCGTTGGTCCACAGAATTTTTTTTAAAATCGATATAAGATTCAAAAATGTACGACGAATCCATTGGCAAAGAAAGTCCTTAGCAACCGTGTTAGTTTCCAAGCTATATCCTGTGGAAGTTTGATTTTTAGCAGAAAAAATTAAAAAAATATTCGGCGACGTTATTGATGCCTACTGTAACGTCACCACAACTTCTATACTATAAGTATAACGCTATTATACCGTACAGTGTCGTTACAAAATCGTGAGTGTGTATAACCTATTTTCCTAATTATTGCAAATGCTCAAGCGTAATCAATTGATAAAGAAATAAACTGACTAATTTTTAAGGATATTTCTGCTGCCAAAAAAAAGCCAAATTGGCAAATAAATATACTGCAAGCGAAAGAAAGTTATTGTAAAGACTTTAACTCCATCTTTTCTAAATTGGACAGGGTTCCTCGTCTTTTTTGAAATGCTTGTATTGCTCTAATTTTTATGAATCAAATATGGAGTTTGAAATTGTTCCGGTAAACATAGCTTTGGCAGAATGATTTTATACATATTTAAATAATCGGTTATAATATTGGGATCGCGTATACACATCTTTTTTCTAAATCTTATTTCTGCATGTTTGTATTTAAAAAAAGTAAATATGATTTTCTGCCATCTTTTCATCCTCGCCATTTCCGGCGCTATTCGAGGTATTGCGCACAAAACCCATTTTATTAAATAATTCGTCAGGTTCACACACGTGCACGTGCCAAACTCTGCTATTTTATTTTAAAAATTTCCTGTCTCGATTGCTTTCCCTTTTCTTTAACTACACTGTCCCAGGTTATGGGGAGGGTTGAGCGTTCACAAACATGTTTAACCCCGCCACATTCTTTATGTGCCTGTCCTAGGTCAGGAGCCTGTAGTTTAGTGCTTGTCGTTGGTTCATGTCTGTCATATTTGTTTTTTCGTAAATTGTTTTGTTATAAATTAGGCCGTTAGTTTTCTCAATTGAATTGTTTCATATTTTTCATGTCTTGACCTTTTAAAGCCGACCATACGGTATGGGGTTTTCAGTCTTATTGTTGAAGGCCGTACAGTTGCTATAATTGCTTAGATCCACTTCATTTGAACTTTGGTGGATAGTTGTCTCGTTGGCAATCATACCACATCTCCTTATTTTTATAAAGCATGATATAATGTTTGCTGGAGTTTCAGCAACAAAGGAAATAATTTCTTGTACCATTTTTTGTTAAATATCTACATGCACGACTCCCAAAAAATAAGAAAACTGCATCTGTATATTATCTTGAGAATTCTTATGGCTGTAATAATGTAAAAAAAAAAAAGAACCCGTATATGAATTTCAGCAAAATAAAACAGATCGGAGTTTTTGATATAACTTCCCGTAGCACAGATCATTCCCAGTGTTGTGCCTTAGCATTGTGTATATTGTAATGCTATAGCATTGTGTATAGTGATATGCTATAAATGTACCGTGAGAAAGGAAGAAAGACCATTCACAATTTGTCTTACATTTGTTTTTCTCTCTTTCAATTAAATAAAAAAAAAAATAAACCTTTCAGATGTAGAGTTCATAAGAAGGAAGTATTCCCTGTGGAACACCCAAACCCCCTTTTTTTTGTGCTCTCTTTTTTCAACCCTCTAATCTAATTAAAATTAAAACTTTGATTTCTAACCGATCTATTCATGTTCCGGACCGGCAACTTTTTTATTTAATAAGAAAATCTACAGTGCCGTTATACACATGCATGTTGATTGCTTGGAGTCCCCGCCCGAAAAGAAAGAAATATTCAAACTCCAAGATACTATATTCCTGAATCACGTGATTTTTACTACGTGGAGCTTAAATTAGAATAAATACCGAATATGGAAAGTGAAACTACAATTCATAACATAAAGTCCGTTGGCAAATAGAAGAAAAAGAAGATTATTTTTGGCAAAGGGTACCGGGGTAATCCTCTTTGTGTTCAAAATATACATGAAATATTTGCCACTGCCCCTTGTCTCAGTTCTATGAATGTTTACCCTGAGTTTTCTATCTGTTACTGGTGTAATGCTATAACTGTACTCACGTAATGCTATAAGAATGTACCAAGGGCGATTTTATGAGAATGTATCCATCCAGTATGATGCTAAAAAAAATGTACCTTAAATGTAATTTTATTAGTATGTACATTTTTTTTGTACCTAGTGTAAATTGCAAGGAGACTAATAGTGTAATGCTATACGAGTTTACCTAGTGTAGTACCATACGAATTGTGCCTGTATATAATGCAAATGAATTGCTTTTTTGTTTATATAATATGAAAATAAGGAGATGTGGTATGATTGCAAATGAGACAACTATATCTGCCACAGTTTAAGGTAGATCGGGTGTCTTTTTTCTGAGCGTCCGTTCTGGTCATGTTGCAAAAAACTTTTTTGTTTTTAAAATATTTTACCAAGTATCATTCAATATACTAGTACAACAAAATACCTAAAACTTGAAATTTAAAGACTGAGCTATAAAAAAATAAAGTGTCGTAAAGTATATTTAAAATTTTTGTGGATTTTTTCAAGAAAATAAGGCCCGTGACCCCCTTTTTTATTTGATATTTCAGAAGTATTAATGAAAAGCAATTCTCTCATCGAATTTTAGTCAGTTCTATCGTTTAATGTTTCCTCGATAAGGAAAATGTAAGCTTCCCCTATATAAACAATATAAAATAACCCAAATTTCGTTAAATTCAATGTATTATTACGAAAAAATAAGGTCCGTGATCCCCAGTTTTTATATTGAAATTTGAAATTACATTGACCCAGAAGTCTTTTACAGAAGCTTAAGAAAAATCTATCGTCAAACATTTAGACACCCCAGCTAACTTAAATGAAATGGATGTAAGTAATTATTATAGGCAACCATACGGCCTTCAACAATGAGAAAATCCATACCGTATAGTCGGCTATAAAAGGCCCCGACATTGCATACATTATTTTCTTCACTTCTCCCCCTTCTTCCCCTACCTAATATACTCTACTCTATTCTATCATAATCTTCAATTGAGACATGAGAAGAAAAATTTTATTTCAAAATTGTATTCACAACTTCTGAATGATACACAAAAGCACAACAAAAGAAAACAAATTTCGCTAGAAAAAATAACATGTTCTATTTTTATCATACATGTGTAGTTTCAGTTTCAACCATGGTTCAAAATTTAAAATTTACCTTCCCCAAAAATTGCGGACGGAATAGAAGACACCTGTTTATTTTCTGCACCTTGGATGACATAGATTTTACTTATTCTGAGATAACTGTTCACTATTCGTATCAAATTCATTAAAATTAAACCAGAATTGACCCCACAATATTTTTTAAAAAATCATAGTTTGAATGAAATTCACAGTGTAGCGTAAAATTGTAGGTAACGAATAATTATACTGCATGTGATTTTGTGTTGAACTAGAAAGACGTTAGCATGTCCGTTTTTTATGCAATTGAAAATTTAAGGACATGATTTTTATTTATGTAAAAAGTATAAAAGATACTAAGTAAGACCGTAATCAACTTATAACTAATATACAAGTCGAAGAACAAAGCCAAAAGCAAAAAACCATCAGATTCCGTCCACAAAACATTACACAGAAACTAAGAATTGAGCACTGGTTATAGTTGTTGATACGAATAGAAGCAGAATTGTCACTGGTTTATTTTTTTATTTCGTTATAATTTTTTTCTTAAAAGGCGTTTTTGCTTTCTGTTGAAATAAACACGAGTCGTATTGTGTACCGCAGGGCCGTTGGAAGGAAGTCTAAAGAGGGAGTGCAAAGGGGTGGGTGTGGGAGGGGCTTTCGTATAAACCATAGATCGCACTGAAGGTACTATTTATTTAAAGAATGACTGTAATATTTTTTCTGTCTATGAAGAAATAACATAAAAAAACGTGGTGCACACTGAATAACCCGCTACGCGGGTTATTCAGTGTGCACCA